TTTGTGCGTGCTTCCTCCAGCTGTGGCCTTTACCTGCTTCCCTCTCCATCTGAGCTGCCTGAAGGCACGGAATGGGCCTTGCTCGGCTTGTGGCGGCCCATCCCCTGGTGTCTCCCATGAGGGACACTTGAGCCCAATCCAGTCCACTGGGGAGTGTGCCAGGAAGTGCCGATGGCCCTAAGGAGTGGAGAGCAGCCCCCAGCTGACGGCCAGTAGGGAGGTGGGGACCTCAGGCCGATAGCTGCAAGGAGCTGAACTCTGCCAACAACTGAGTGAGCCTGGGAATGGATTCATCCCGGGTCTCCAGTTGAGAACCCAGATCGGCTGACACCTTGACTGTGGCCTCAGGAGACTTGGAGCGGAAGAACCAACTGAGCCCACCTGAAATTGTGACTTGAGATCATAAATTTGGGATGTTTTCAACTACTACATTTGGAATGATTTGTTCCAGTAGCAACAAGAGACTAATACAGAGATTATAACAACCCCGTGAGTGCTACTGTGTGTGGCAACTCTGGCTGAAATGTTGAAATGCAACCTCTACAGCAAGGCCCTTTGTGCTTCGGTCCATCCTGCAAAGCCTGCAGGTCACATGTGCATTTCCTGTGAGGGCGGCTTGTTAAGGATAAGAAGCAAATGAAGAAAGCTGCAGGCTCCTCTGGGTCTGAAGAAGGGAGACATGGATATGGATCTGGGGTGGCTTTAGCTGGTTTTGGTATGATGTGGGGGTGACCCCTGAATCACAGAGTTTGATGACCATTTTCTGACTTTCTTCAGGACTTTTGGCAGATAGAGCCCTGGAATCTGCCAAGAAGGCTGGTTATGTGGGCAGAAGCGGCCAGAGACCAAGCCGGTTTATCTCTCTATCCAGGTGGGATGATGCCTTGAGGTTTACCTTCAGGTTTTCTTCAACTCTTTTGCTTCTCTTCGCCCAAGAACAGGGTACCTGGAGGCAGGAACGGGATTTGCTTTTCCTTCCCAATTCATCTTCTCTGTTTCAACAGGTTTTAAGCTAATGGTCGCTATGGCTGCCAACTGGGGCTGTCCATATTCATCCCAGGGGTTGTGGTAGGGGATGGGGGTTCACAATTTGATTTCTGCGAAGAACGTAAGCAGCATTTTCAGCCCCCAGATGGAGGAAGTGGGAGCTGGTTTCCTGCCTTCATCATGGAGCTCTGTGGGACCAACTTCTTGTCTGAAATGCAAAGCCCTTGCGTTTGTCTCTTGCTGCTCAACCTAGAAAGACTGTGAACTATGGAAGCAACCACGTGTAGGCTCTGGAAAACCACTTCTGCCAAGGTTCAGGGCAGACTGACCATGGGGCGGGGACCGGAGCCCGCCTCACACACATCTGTCCTCTCTGGCCCTCGGCTCCCTCCCAGGTGAAGACACTTGGCCTCCTTAGATAGCTTCCAAGGTTCCTTTTGACTTTAGAATTCTCGGTTTGAAAAAAAAATCTGGTAGAACAGACACTAGCTGTTGACAGCAGTAATCTCTGCTGGGGTGGGAATGGGGAATAGCATTAGACATTAACTTCGCAGGTCAAAGTTTAGAAAATATTTAAAAATAATTTTTGGATCATGTGCAAAACATTAGTTTTTTAAATTGCTTTTTTTTTTGTTTTCCTTTCTAAAAAATGTGCTTTCTGTTATGGAAAATTTCAAACATATATAAAAGTATGGGGTAACGAATTCCCACATAGCCATCACTCAGCTTCAACCATGGTTGGCTCATAGTCAGTCGTTTCACCAGTATCCCCACCTACTCCCCCGCTCCTGTCTTATTTTAAAACAAATCCAAGACACAACATCATTTCACTCAATACAGCATGTATCACTTGTAATTAGAAATTAAAATTTACCTGAGGCATTCTGAAACTAAATATACCTCCATACTCTTCTGCAGAAGCACCACAATAGGATGAAAATAAAATGTAACTGTTAGTCTTCTGGAGATCTGGAAGAAATCTGTTCTCTACCCATGATTGCCTAACAATGCTTAATCCAAAGGAAAGAAGCTCTAACAATGGAATTTCATTTATCTGTGGGAGGGACTGTATTGAGGGACAGGGGATGAGGGAATACTGTCAGCCACTCCACTGGGTAGTGTGCAGAGCCAGTCCTGGGAGGGAATGGCTTGCTCATTATCTTCCCCAACTGTTTTGCACTGTATGCGTCAAATCCCACAGTAAATACTGAGAATTATTTTAAAGGATCTCTCAGGAGTTTGGCAGCTTCCCTCCTCCCATTCAACAGTTTCAAAATCCCTGTTACTACCACCACCCTCATCAGATTGTGCTTATTAAAGGTCCACTTGGATTCACAGCCCCACCTGTTTCCCACTGAGATGGGTCCTTGACTTAAATTTCGGGGGTGAGTTCTCCCGCTTTGTTCATTTGGATTAGAAACCCCGTGATGTTCGACCTGGCTTACGTTTTTCCTTTTCTCTTTTGAAACAATAAAAATGTTTGGTGGGGATTCTGGACTACATTAGAGGGTCGTTTTCAATTTTCATGCGAGACATATGGAAAGACTCACCTCCACTTACAGTCTATTCCCTGAGACGGTCTGACCCACAGCCGACACTCCGAAATGGAAAAGACCTTCCAGGCAGGCAGCATTTGAGCACATTTCCCGCCCTCGGCCTGTACTGACCTCAGCTCAAGTCAAAACTCACAGGAACGCTAGACTTGGCTGATCCGGGACATGGAAACGTTCAATCCTGAAGTGTGCCCCCTCCTCACTGAGGCTGGGGCTCCCCAAGCTCTTCAAGTGAGGTTGGGCCTGAGCCTGGGGGTGGGGAATGGGCTGCTACAGAGTTTCTTTTCTTTCTCTTCTTTGGTAGAGGGGGAGAGGCCCCTGGGACTTGTTCTATATGGCTGATGGTGCTTCTTTTTGCCTGCTTGAGTTAATGGACAAAAGCCATACATGGATGTCTGCTGGACTAGTTATGTTTTCCTTGCAAATACAAATCTAAAGTGCTGTAGCACAGACAGCTTTAATGCCTGAGTAAACGCTTGACCTCTGGTGAGTTTCCAGAATTGAGATGTTCGGGTCTTTTGGCATCATTAGGAAATGGGCTTGCATCTGACAGGTTAAGGGGTGACAGCAGTAAATACAGACAGGATCATAGAAGCTGGGAGTCACAGGGTGGGGAACTGGAAAATTCGGTCCTGCCGTCCAGGCTCTCCAGCCTTTTGACATTGGGGATTAAGAATGGCCTGCAGGGGCAGCCCGCAGTAGGAGATTTTAAAGGAAGGAGTCTTTGGGTGGAAGCAGATCTGGCAAGGCAGGGGGAGAGGTTTTTTGAGAAAGAAAGAAAAGACTGAAGGCTATTTTGGGGGATGGGGACCAGGGGAGCTGGGGCAAGGGAGGGGAGAGATGGAGAGATGAGTAGCGAGAAGCTTTGTGGTGGATGAACCTGGAATCTCTGCAGCTGTTTTCCCAGGAACCCTGATGAAGATTTTGCTTTCTTCTCAATTGTTTTCAGGTTTTGCCCCTGACATTGATGGGCTGTGATGCTGATGGGAGCCTGGAGCCTAAGGTGGTCCAGATCTTTGGGGTCACAGAAGAGGGTAGAAAAGCAGGGTGCATCCTGGAAGACAAGGAGGTTTCACCATGAAATAGATTTGGCCTTTTGTTGGACTTGACCTACCCCCTTTCCTTTTTGACCAGGAATGGGTCATGGGGTGGCTGCTTGCATCCAGGATCATCAGGTGTATTCCCAGCATCGTGTGGAGAATGGGTGTTGCGGGAAAACAGCGATCTGCTGGGGCTGGCTTTCCCAGCCTTGCGTAAAGGGCTGAGTCGTGGTGTACTGTGCGGGGGGGGGGTTGGGCGGGGGGCGGGGGGCGGGAGTGGGGGGGTGCCGAGAAGCGCCCGACAAAGGCACATGTCAGCAAGTCCTCCATCCGGCCGTTCGGGGGACTTGGCAGACCAGCCGGAGTTTCCTGGCATTTGGTTCTCAAGTAGGTAAGGCCAGCTGGCTCCGGAGAGTTTTTTGTAAAGCTTATGTCAGTCTTCGTCTTGGGGTCCTGTTTGCTGCCTGGGGGGTGATGGAGCTGGCTGGCCGAGTCCCAGCTGTTCCTTTGGGGGCCCACGTGGAGATTCTGGACTCCGATAGCATCTTTCAAGCCAGTAGAGGATGGGGGATGGGGGGTGGGGGGGGTCGAGCAGGAAGGTAGGGCTGAGGCTAGAACACGGTGGGGTGGGTCTAACAGCCGGAGCTGGTCTCTGGGGCTTAAACAAGCCAAGGAATTCTCACTGACCTGGAGAACAGACAGGGGGTGTTCCCTTTTCCCTCCTACTGTGAAGTTTTCTGCCGGAACCTAGACCTCCCTGGGGCGCTGGGCTGTGAGGCACCCTTTGAAAAGGCATTCTTGACCCAGTACACCCACACAGGCTTTTTCTCTGGAAATTAAAAAAAAAAAATGCTCCAAAGCCCAAGTTTTATGCAAACACTTAAGAAGGCAGGCTTGCTGCCTCTTCGCATTACGATCACTAGACAGACTCCATGCCAGGTCCGGGCTGGGGGGAGGGGGAAAGCTTGGGGTTTGCCTCCAAAGCCAGGGATCTGTTTCAAGTGATGTGTGCACTCTGAACTCCCACTGCTCCGGCCTTAAAGGTCGTTCACACCTGAAAACCTCAGGTTTCTTCTCTGGAGCAGAGGGTTCTTTTTCCAGGGGATCCCAGTCCCTCTAGTGCTGCTGGGAATGGAAAGACCGCCCCCCCCCACCCCCACCCCATGCAACCAAGGGTGAATGGGAGAGCATCCCACCCACGGGCCCAGGCACTGCTAAGACGACCTGGTGCTCCGTCTGCCTCCTTCACCCCGAAAAATAAAGTCCCCGGGGGCCAGGTCACAGGAGTGGCTGATGCGCATGCGTGCTTGCCGTGTGCCAGGCAGTCCTCCTGAGTGCTGTGGCATGGAATACCTGATTTAAGCTCCACACTAATGATGACTATTTATGATCCTCACTCTGCAGAGGCGGAAACCGAGGCTCAGGGAGACAATGAAATGAGCACAGGTCGTGCCGCCAGCGCGCAGGGGGAGCCGGGATTCGAACACATGTTCTTCTCGCGTGTCTCTGCGCCTGCGCAGACTGAGCATGGGCGGGAGGGCTTTGGCTTTGTGCGCTGGGACCCGAAGCTGAGCACGTCTGAGGAGGAGCCTTGATGGGGGCGGGGAGAGGGAGGGGGCTGGAGCCAAAGCAGCAGCGAGGGAGACGCGGGTGGAACTGGCTTTTCCCGGAAGCTCACTGGGGCTCTGAGCAGCTTGGCGGCCGCGGGCTTGGGGGTGATTGCCCCAGCCCCCATCCCGCCGTCCCCAGGAGCCCAAACTACACCCATGGATGAAGCGGCTTTCGTCTTCATCCAGCCTTCGCCCCATGCCAGGCCCAGGTTGTGGGGAACAGAGAGGAACAAGACGCAGCCTTTACAGGCGATTCTCAGGCCATTACACCCCGTATTTGATGGGGAGGGGTAAAGAGACGGTTGGTGTAAAAGCCGCCGCTGTTGCAGCCCCTTGGCACCTTGGGAGAATTCCACACGGAGGATAAAACGCCACTGCTATTTGGAGAGACCCCTTTAATGGGCCCGTGGGACGGAGAAAGGCTGGGCCAGGAGGTTTGGAACGGGGTTCAGTTGTGCTCCGTGCAAGGGGTTATGGACTTACCTTGCTGAGACCTTGGGAAGGAATTTGGGGTTCAAGCACAAGTGATAGGAGTGAAGAGCTCTCCCCGCCCCCCGCCTCAGTTATGTCCTTATATCTTAAGTTATGTCCTTATATCTTACCTTGTAGGATCTGTGGAGGGTCTGAGGCAGGCAGTGGTTAATGAGATCTAGCGAAACTGAGGCCTAGAAACTTCCACCTTAGAGTTGTGCCCCACCAGTGCAGTAGCTGTTGCTGTGATTTCCTCCTTGCTCCTCTCTCTGCCCCAGACCTTACGTGAGGGAAAGTCGGTCACTCGCAGTAGTGCGCCTGGGAAATGCTGGTGTCCTTCCAGGCAGTGAGGAGATATATAACAAGGAGTAAGGAGCTGCAGTGACCAGTGGCCAGGAACGGATTCTTAACGAGGCGGTCTTCCTCCAACCATCTTCAAAGTGTGGGAGGTGGATGGGGGCTGACCCTATTACTGCGGAGAGCCTGGGGCTTGGGGCTGGTGAGGTGGGTGAGGCACCGCCTCTGGCGCGTTTCAGGGTGTGCCCCCAAACTCAGCCATCAGGATAAATCATACTTTGATGCAACCTTTAAACTGTCAATATACAAAAGTCTGATGAACAAAATATCAAAATTTTAAATTAAGATAGAGCTAATGTATTACGGATTATTCCTTTTGCCTCAGGCTGCAATATGACTGAGCAATGCATTGTTATGGATCCTGTCTTTATTTAAAATGTTGATAATTCATTCATCATTGATTTTTTGCGTTGATTTATGATTCTTAAAACCTTGCGTTAAAATATGACTTATCTTGATGGCTGAGTTTTTGGCACACCTTGAAATGTGCCCAGGGTGGATATGTTACTCACTTGCCTTGGTCCTGGCCCTGCCTGGGGAGTTGAGACATCATTTTATTTGGCCTTAAAGAAAAGAGTAATTCATGAATCTGTGGGTTCATGGGTAAGGGCCGCTGCATGGGTGATACACTCTTGCAGAGTACTGTCTGAGACCGGTTCACTATTGACAGCTGTCTCTCCTCTGGCTGGTTAGTGCTGTCAAATGACAAAAATGAAACAATTCAGTACCAGGTTTGATGTGCTTTACTGAAGGGAAAATAATCCATGGACTGGGGGACTACAGTGCCTCACGAGCAGTGGGGCATTCTTCCCAAGGGATTTTGGGCAATGGGGAGTTTTACAGATGTTAGAAAAGGTGATGCAGAAACAGGGCGTGGTTGGTTAGTACGTCGGGACTTTCCTTAGAAAGCAAGTGGGTCCTGTTTTGTAGGAGAAGGTGAGCTGGGTAAAAGTTGAGTTGGAGGGACTTCCCTAGTCCAGCAGCTAAGACTCCATGCTCCCAATGCAGGGGGTCCAGGTTCAATCCTAGGTCGGGGGACAAGATCCCACATCACGCAACAAAGGGTTCACATGCTTTAACTCAAAATCCTGCATGCTGAAACTAAGACCCGGCCAAGCCAAAAGAGAAAAAAAGCCAGTAGAATTGGAGGGTTGGGGTTGGTTTCCTTGACATTGAGGTGTGTTCTGGCCCACTAGAGTGGCCTGGCTACCATGGGTCCTGGTACACCAATGACCTTTACAAGTGCCCTGACTGGGAACAAGCCCATATTCACACTTCATGAGAGGCAGCAAGGCTGGGGCCTCCCTGAGCCCAGATGGTGGGCACTGACCCCAGAGACCCAGTGTTCCGAGAGGGACGTCTTTTGGGAAGGAGGTTGATTCGCTTTTGTCTCAATGAGAACTTTCTTTAGATCTCTGTTCCCCGACTTCACTGCACATTTCAAAACAACATTCTTTTATGAACAAGCACCAGGACATCAAATACTTCCACACCCCATGCTAGAAGCGCTTCAGGCCATGTTGCTCTTTTACTTTTAAATAGTTCCATGTAAAATCAGATGTTAACTCTCTCTGAATAAACCCAACTGGAAAGGCTTTTTCTTTAATAACACCAATGACAATCAGAACAGGTGCAAAGAATATGTGCCCCTAACTATAGAGCACCAGGATTTAGAAGGTAAACACTTAAGTTGTTACATATGTAACAAATAATTCTTATTTATGGATGGTGAGAAAAATGAGCAACAAAGCTTGGAGGGAAAGTACAGCAGGAAATATATTAGCAGGAAGCATGATTTATGTCTTTGAATGGGGCCCATTTCTTTAATAAATGGATTTTGTTTGGCATCTTGGTCAACTGCAGCTCCACCCTACCTTTTAATTATTAAAGCTTGTGTTGGGTTCATCACATATGGCAGCTTTTGGAAACCTTTCTTCAGCCAGCAAACGACGAAATAGAATTCCAGGATATGCGACTCAAGGGAGGTGTATGTACTTCTCAGAGTCCTGAGATTACAGAATGCTGCCGCTGCCCGGGATCTTGGAGGCTGACTAGTGCAGTGTCACAGTCCCCACCTTGGTCACCCTACACCCCCTCCATTTATGGTGAGGAAGATAACTCTGAGGCGAAGGAGGCCAGGCAGGATCACACAGTTGGCTGGTGGTGGAAGTGAATTCTTGTCTAAGAGATGCTTTGTGGGAAGGCTCAAGACCTAAAATTCTAGACTTGGTTTCTTTCTTTTACTTTTTCTCTAAAGTAAGACATCAAAGAACAATGTCATTAATTGGTCTTGAGTATTGATAGGTGGCCTTGATGATAACTCACGAAAAGCCTAGTGAAGTGAACGTTGCACATCGTGTCTGACTCTTTGCAACCCCGTGGACCTTACAGTCCATGGAATTCTCCAGGCCAAAATACTGGAGTGGGTAGCCGTCCCCTTCTCCAGGGGATCTTCCCAACCCAGGTCTCCCACATAGCAGGCGGATTCCTTACCAGCTGAGGTACCAGGGAAGCCCCATGAAAAGCCTGGGAGCACTCAAATCTTTGATTCACCTCTGTGATGGTGATGTTCAGTCATAAGTCTTTTACATTATTAATAGCAAGTTTAATGGAGACTTTCTCTCCAGTATTGTTTCCCTCTAATGTGAAGAACTTCCTTTTGGATTCTTTGTAGTGCAGGACTGCTGGTAGCAAATTTTCTTACCTTTTATTTATAAAATATATAAATAATTTGCCATACTCTTGAAGGATATTTGCTGATACTGAATTATGAGTTGACTTTTTTTTCTCTCTTAGCATTTAAAAAATGTGATTTCCCTGTTTCCTGGCTTCCATTTTTGTCCGATGATAAGCCAGAGATCATTTGTAGCATTGTTGTATGTAATATGTCATTTGTCTTTGTCTGCTCAAGAGAATCTCTGATTTTTAGTTTTCAGCAGATTGACTGTGATATGTCTAGGTGTGGTTTCCTTTTGTGTGTCCTATTTTGGTTTCTCAAAGATTTTTTCTATTTTGTTTCTCCTCTACTTTTAGGATTCCAAATACATGTGTACTAGATTTTTTTTACACTAGCTTTTTCCACTGAGGTTCTGTTCACTTTTGAATTTTTTTCTGCTGTGGTCCATAGAGTAGTTTCTATTGATACATTTTTAACCTCACTAAATCTTTTGTTATCTACCATCAGCTGTGTATTTTTAATTTCAGGTTTTAATTCTTGGTTCTAGAATTTCCACCTGCTTCTTTTTAATTGTTTCTATTTCTCTACCTAGAGTCCCTATCTATTCCCTTATAAAAAGCATATTTTTCTTTACTGAGCATAGTTATAATAACTGCTTTAAAATCCTGTCTGAGGATCCTAAGTTCTGGGCTATCTTGGGGTTAGTGTCTCCATTGGTTACCTTCTCTCTTGAGTATGAATCACATTTTTCTGTAGGTCTAGTAATTTTAGATAATTTCCTGAATATTATGGATGAAATGTTATAAAGACCCTGGATTCATTATATTCCTCTGAAAGACTCTTGATTTCGCTTTTGTTTGTTTTCCTGCTTAATGTGCAGTTAATTGGGGTGAATTCAGACTCCAAACTGTTATCTCTTCTGCGGTGGACAGCAACTGAAATCTCAGTTAAGTTCTTTTATCCTCAGTTGGAACTGCTTGAAATCTGCCCCAAGGGTGTGTATAGGCTGGAGGCAGCCAGAGATTTGAGCAGAATTTTTAGACTGAATTCAGGGCTGTTTCTCTGTGGATTTCTTCTTTTCATGATGTTTCTCCAACTTTCTAACTGTTGTGGTCACCCTAAACTCCTCTGATTATTCATGCCTCTGAGACTAAGGGGTTAGTTTTAGCCAGCTGCACAGTAGCTGACTAAGGCCTGCCCTCAGGCAAAAAGCTGTGAGAGTGTGTGTGTGTGTGAAAGAGAGAGAGAGAGAGAGAGAGAGAGAGAGAGAGAACTTTCCTGCCTTGGAACTTTCTCCAGTGTATTCAGATAGTTATTTTTTAATATATTTATCCAGAGGTTAGTTTAATTGTTATTCTGCCATCAACAGTGTCCTCTTCACCTTTTCAGAATATAAAATATAATAAATGTTCACAGTTCTTTTTCCTTCCACTTCGTAAAGGTTTTTCTTCTGTGTGTGTTATGTATTCCAGCTGTGTCCTGTTGGAATGTCTCTACTGCGTCATTCATTCCTTCCCTTACTGGGGAGGAATCTGCTTACGAACCTCTCTGTGTTAAGTCACAAGGGATCTCCTGTCAGCTCAGAATCCTCTGCAAGGGACAGAGTGAAGCCAGGTTCGC